GTTTGAGCTCATTAAGACTTACATGGACGGGGAACATTCCCTTAAAATTTTAGCCTTCCAGCTCTTCTGGTTCTCGAGTTAGCGACTTACCCCCAAAAAACTTTCACAGACCCATACGTGGGTACCACACGGGTCAGAGCGTCCATTTTGGGATTGGGGCCCGTACGTGCATATAGATTAAGTTTTCAAAGTTTCAACTCTGTAGCTTTGTAGGTCTTGAGATGAAAAACCGTGACAGACGAACAAACAGAAGCAGACACACACACAGACAACTCTTCGTCAATATGCATTTTCTGCATTGCATAGCTGCAAAAAAATGCATAAAAATTATATTTTCCAGACTGGTTACTAGCTGAAGGTAAGCAGTTATGAATTGAAAAACTTGGTCTAACTTGGCATAGCATGCGTATGTAATCCAATAGACAGCATTAACCTGGCATCACATTTTATTCAAATCGCCATACAAATATATACTTGCATACGCACATATCATGCGCTTATTACATAAGAAGCGAAACACACTTCCTCAGCAATTGTCCTGCGGCACTAGGTCTTTAATTTTTTGCAATATAAGTAAGCAATTTGATTACGCGGGTAAGAAAGCCCATTTTGGGAATTGGGGCCCGTACGCGCATGTAGATTAAGTTCTCAAAGTTTCAGCCCTGTAGCTTTTGTAGGTCTTGAGATGAAAAACCGTGGCAGACGCACACACAGACACACACACACACATACACACAAATAACCCCCGTCAATTTGCATTTTCTGTATTGCATAGCTGCAAAAAAAGCATAAAAATTGTATTTTCCAGACTGGTTACTGATTACAAATATGCTGTTATTGAATGGGTTTTTTGAATGAGATGCTGTTTTTGATATATTTTTCTAAAGGCTTTCTTATACAATATCTTATAGATAAGAAATTACAGCTCCGTCTCAAACGATCAGAACTTGAATCATTACTATCTACGACGCAAAAAGCCAGTAATATCATGGTTCGAGCAGTGTTACACGGTACCTGATTAGCCTCCCCCAGCTTGGACGAGCCGCATTTTATCGACTACTGTGGAACTATCTATAAGGAAGAGGTCATGGGGGGACGAGATCGCATGAGATTTACGTCTTCTTGTCTTAATTAACTTATACACCTTAGTGAATTATTTTGTTACCACAATCGTCGTACTGATGCGAGGTCCAGTTGTGGTAACGGTAAGAAATGTATACGACTTGATAGACCAAAATATTTCTTACCTATAACAAATATTTCTTTAGATTCCTTACCTATTTTAATATCCTTTTCCTCCTTTTCATTGTTTCCTTCTTCTCCTGATATTTTCTTT